TAATTAGAAATTAATGCGCACTAATTTAAAATGAGAGTTTTTTAAATTAGTACGCATTAATTCCTAATTATTTCCCAAATTTCTTTCCCTATCTGAAGGAATTCTTTTTGTTGGTGTTGAGAGAAATGATAAACACACTATATCAGCCGATGCAATTTTCGACGCTACTCACAAAAATCAACTTTAAGACTGACAAAAGTTGAATTTAAAAAAGCTCGAAATTCAAATTTAAAATTTTCAATTGAGCTTTTTTTGTAAATACACTGTGTATAGGATACTTGATTGTATATGTATACGCTTACATCAGATCTTTAAAATAATTTCTTTGAAGTTTGTGAGCAAAGGAGAGAAGTAAATTTGCATCGATTTCTGCCCATTGTTTATCTTGGGTTTAATTTCGTTCGGATTTTATAGCGAAAACGATTTTACACAGTTTTCAGTTAATTTGAGCCTATATAACCGTACAGAGAATTTAAATTAATTTTTCTGGAACGGATACCATCGCTTCACAAAAATGATTCTTGGTTTCCTTGAAATTAAATACGCTCATCATTTGAATGTTTTATCTCTTGAAACACATATGAGTGTAAGAATCGTGGTGGCACTGGAAAGCTAGACCGAGTTTTCAGTCCAAATAAAGACCGCCATTAGGTGTCATTAAGTCATTATTGTTCAAAATCTAATATGAAGTTTGAGTAAAGCTTAATGTAGAAAAATAGCCAATGAAAAACTGAACAATATGGTCTATTAACCATGGTTAGGTATTATGCCATCAAGGAGAAATAGTTCGTTCATTTTCGAACGTCTCCTATCTCGGGACAAAGATTGAGCGATCTTTGGAACCATTTTTTTCCCATGAATAAGAGAGAATGCAACTAGTCTTTGATGATTGCAGTGAAATGTTTCCTTTCGAAACGTTGCCGGAATTTGTCGGAGAATTTTTTATTATTTCCTTCTAGATTTTGCTGGTTTTGACGAGTTGGATGTTTTGAGGGTGAGATGATATTTTTGTCAATTTGTGTTAAAACTCCACTAACGCATAGTCAGATGCATCTGTTATAACAGTTATAGCTAATTTAGATGTGTGCTGTTCAGGTAGCCATTTAAACGGAGTATCCTGGCGTAACAGACGTGTAAGAGGGTTAGCAATAAGTGAAAAATCAGGAACGAATCTTCTGTAATATGAGGCCAATCTAATGAATGGCCGTACCTCGTCTACACACTGCAATGTGCGAGAAAACTCCGAAACCTCTATCCAATTGACGGAGCGAGATTTATGAGCGTTCTTTTATATCTGAAAGCAAGAAAAGAAACAAATCAACCTTTCATACCCCTTAGCAGCTCGCTATTCCAAAATTTCCTGCATGAGACTCAACTTCATACATCTCCACAGAGGAAAAAACCGTTAGCTCTTAATGCTGAGACAACATGCTTACTCGTTAATTCTTCTGAACGCTGAAAATATATCAGTTCCGAAATTCCATAAGTGGAAAGTGCTGTACTTTCCTCTCTGTCATCTAACATTACAGACGTATTTACTGTATTTGTAAGTCTTAAATGATTATTTCAAAGTTTGAAATAATCATTTAAGACTCACAAATATGATTTTACAAGAATAATTTATTTTTATTTTCTCTATTGAATAGAGAAAATAAAAATAAATCATCCGTACTTTTTTTACCTTGAAATTTTAGCCACGTTCCAGGGGAAAAGATATTATATTTCCACGCATCCTCAGCACTATAGAAAGATCTTTCAGTTTACTATACTACAAAAACTGCATAATAATAATATTATACATTAAAATTATATGGAATAAGAATGATCACTAAAATAATTACTTGCAGCTTTAAGAAAACACGATTATATCGGTATAACGAAATCAATTTTTGTTCGCATAAAGTTAAATCTGATAATTCTGGTGGTGCATCTTCTAGCCATAGCTTATTACCAGCTGTAAATTTAGGAATAATACTTAGATTATTCTTATAATATTTAGATAATAATATTTAGATTATTCTTATTATAAATATTATAGAATAATATTTAGATTATTCTTATTATAAATATTATAGAATAATATTTAGATTATTTAGAGATTTATAGCAGTCTGCGCAAACTCTACATGAGGGATAATCGATTTGTTTCGCTTCGGCCTCATCAAACGCTAATAAACCTTCGTTGTACAATAATATGTCATCATAACGTGAATAAGAATGATTTAAGATTGGTATGTCATTGTCTCAATAAAAATGGAGTACATAAAAGATAGAAAATCTCATATGGTAATAAAACGCGCGCATTTCCTGGTATGAGACGTCATATTATCAATTATATGCATGTTCCATCATTTGAACAAGTATTTCATCTGATGTTAAATGTACTTGAAACAGACTCCTGTAGTCAATTTAATATCATAGCCACCTATCTTGGTATTATAAACACACTGAATATACTTGGAACATAAATAGTTGTGGAGCTAAGTGTCATTATCGCTCTCGAATAATTCCTCAATGGAAGAACGATACGACAATTAGTAGGAGCCTGTGAGTTTTTTACTCAAGATATCTTGAAATATTAAACCTCTATTTTTAGTTTATTTAAACATAATATTCTGTTTGCTCGTTATTTCAGGCATAATTAGGATCGTACAATTCCTAATCAGAAATATCTTTACTGTTTATTCGAATCATTACTCATTATGTCTCTCAACAAATTATCCAGCTGGTAAACGTAACGCATAAGTAGGATTCGTATTGAAAGATATTGCTCTAACCTTGAAGTCTTTGATCTTTAAATTCTGGTATAATGTTTAAAAGATCTGGATGCAGTTTTAAGAGATGTCTGTTTGAAATATTTGACATAGTCAACGCATGCATACTATTATCGTATTCGCTAGCACTGCATGCTGCACATACAACTTGACGAACTGACGACATTGATATTTTATCATAAAACTTATTCATACAGTTTAATTTTGTTTCCAGAGATACAATCGATGGCCAGATTGTCGGTTTCTGTGATAAATTTACATGGAATCATTGCATCTTCTTGTTGCCGTCTTGTTCTAAGCATACGCATACGGCTAGCACAATAGCCACGTCGTCTAATACCTAACCGTTCAGTAGTATTTAAGGTCGAATCTTCATCTCCGGTTGATAATCGCTTTGTTTTACATCGGTTTCGTATCTGTTACGTATCCTGTGCATTAATATTACGTCGTTCACTATCTGTCCGGTTAGCGACGTCTGACATGACTATCTGCTTTGCTAAACAAAAAGATATCATATAGATAGTTAACATAGATTGTGGTAGCATAGATATAACACGGTACACACACAGAACATCATCCATAACACTGTCTAACAGCTGTATTAATGCAGCTGATGACATATCACTCGCATTGTCAGCAAAGAGAGGTGAACTAGTCATACCTGTTATAATATCACCGATGGTAACACTAATTGAGGAGATCGTTTGACTTTATGGATAGATCACTCAAAATGAAATCCTGCGAAACACATTTTGAATAAAATAAGACACATTTAACGCCTCGCATAGCCATCACAAACACAATTCAATGAGATTAATGAACTCAGCATATGTTTCTGCATCGACTGATTTATTTAGTTTTGAGGAAATTATGCTGACAAACAACGAAGATATAAAAGTAGGCACAATTTATTAGAAAATTATTTTATTTTCGTATTATTCTTTTTATGGAAACACGAAAATCTAAACCCAGCCAAAACTTATAGCCTGTTGCCATCCATACACACATTTTCCAGCGTAACAGTTAAATAGTTTTAAGACCCTTTTCGAGTCAAGTGAATAAAGACATTTAAGTACTGAGAAAAGAATTTTAATTTAGTAGAAGAAAGAGGAAAGTAGACAAAAGACGACTTGCTATTTCAAAACAGAAGGAACACCGAACAACTAGAAATTCATTGGATACTGAAATGCAGATTTAAACGCGTTTGGTAAAAACCTGCGTTTTAGTCGAACGCGTTTAAACGCTTTTATGCGTGAGAACCGTTCGAACGCTTTTTTTCAAGCGTTTTTGTTCAGTGTTGTAAAGCGTTTGACGATTAAAGGCCTTGAAACGCCGAAGATATTTAATACTCGAAACGTGTTCGAATTATTGAGCACGGTTTAAGGAGTTTTCTAAGCTACCCAACTAAAATCACAACGAAAGTGTTATCGTGAATTCTCTATTGACAATCTCTATTGAAATACAACCGTACCTGAGACTGTAGTGAGCTCTCCCACCATTAAAGACTGCAAAACTCGTCTGCGCCAACGCTTGCAAATATGATTGAGGTAGTGTAAAGATGACAAAAGTCTTAAAGGTGCTAAGCACTTTTTTTGCTTCCCTGGCAATATGATTTAGTTCTCGTTTTCATGTTAATGTTTTTGTTGAAAGTTTTAATGTAACATCTCTTGAATTTGTTTATTAATAAATTGCTAAAATAAAACAAAACAAAAAAACAATATTGGAACCATATGCGCAATAACTTGACATACTGGGATAGCATGAAAATTGACAAAATCTTGCAAGAAATGATATATTCATCTGGTGAACTTCAAATAAATGTCTATGATCAATTACCATATTTTGTATGGTTTCTTGTCGCTCGACTATTTTTTATATTGTATTCATCATCCGCTCAAGATGGTGCCCTGTTTGATCGACCTTCATCTCCATTTCCTCCAATCGTTTCTTAAAGTCATTTCGTTCAATCCAATGTCGACTAACATTGTTTCCATCTAATGGCGAAAAATCTCGGTTATTTAGTTGATATACTGGACTAATGTTTCGATTATGACTAGTATTTTGAGAAGATAACAGTGATGGTGTTAAGACAGCAAAAAAAAGCAATCATATTGTTAAATAATATCTTATACATACCTAGTGAGCGTTTGATATCTTTCAATGATAAATGTTTTTTCTTTACACTAAGGTCTAACATGCTTCCTGTTGTATCATATTTAGCATAGAATTATAAACTAACTTCAATTTCTCCTCTTCAAATAATGAAAAACGTTTGACAACTAAGGCTTAAATATGTACTATCTTACCGATCCTTATCAGCTTTACCATCTTTACTCATTAATGTATACCAACTTAAAGTAAATAATCACAGTTTTAAACGTAAATATAATAATTATGTTTCCCCATGACATACCTTTTGTATGCTCTTTCGTAGTCTTGTAGATTTCTCAGGGTTATGTAGGCTCGACTAATAAAGTCTCCTTTTGACAAGACTGTTTCATGTTGATGATAAACAGTAATTTTAACAACAGCATCCTCTGATATTGGCCATATTAAATAAAGTAAGAACAGTAATTTCAGAAATGATCCTTTTTCTTTCATCTACTTACATATCACATTGTTCCTGTCAATCGGGTGAGCGTGTTTTTCTCGCGTGGCTATAACAAATTTTTCTTTGCCCATAGAAATTGTACGGAAGTCGCTTAGTTTTATTTTTGGTGGTAAAAAGAGAGAAATGAACTCGGTAATTAATTTACGAAAATTAATTGATTATTTATAATATAATAATTTTTCACCAATATTCAGTCTTTTGTTAAAGCTAATTTGATTTTCTTTGAACTACCTTCTCCCTTTTGATTGCAAGTGAGGAACTTTAGTGGATTTAAGATGAGTTGTATCATTACATTGATCATGATTATGAGATTCAGATTTAAATACTGTAAATTTACTACTAAATTCTTTTGATTTTAATTGAAAACGGGAAAGACGATATTTTCTGTATTCCGACATGTAATAGTTTTATCGGCTAGAAAATGCTCGGTACGATAACCAAAAACTTTATTTTCTTTTGCAAAAGAATCGATATCACATTCGAAAGTAGAGAAGAAAGAGAGAAGGTAGTCCAAAGAAAGTCACATTAGTTTTAGCAAAAGAGTGAATATTGATGAAAAACTATTATATTATAATGCAACACTTTTTTGTTCTTGAACTATTTTTTTCTTATTAAGAAACCTCACGGGGTCACATCTCAGCGCGAACTTTCGTCACACTAATAACGTGACGACAAATGACGCGTTATAACGTATGACGAAAGTTCATGTACACAACAACGCTTTATATTGCCGTTTCTCTCATCTTTATATACTATTGTTATTGACTGTAAAAGAGCTGGTTGCATTTAAACTACTCCAATTTGGACTGCTGCAGTGTGGACCACTTCAGATCGAACTACTCACAAACGCAATAGACGCTTGACAAGTCATGAGACTGTCCGCGTGGGACTAAGATCTTATTGTAGAAAAATTAAATAAGTGGAAAGAAAATTATTTTATTCATGTATGAAACAGTAGATTATAGTAAGAAAGTAGAATATAGAGTACTGATCACTAAAGAATGTGAGGAAATTGTACTATATCCTTCCTATAAGATTCTTATCAGAATCTTATGAATTCTTACCAAAATCTTATAAATTCTTATAAAATAATTATATAATCTATCTTACCGAATTCTTATCAGAATCTTATAAGATTCTTATATTCCTTGTTATAAGAATCTTATCAATAAATTACGCATTTCCATCGACTGCCTTATATAAGATTCTTATAAGATTTCTATAAGATTTCTATAGAATTGCCGTAAGATCGGTCGACTCGGGTACTCCAGTTTGCACTGCTACAGTTTACATTACTGCAGTTTGACTACTCCAGTTTGCACTACTACGCTTTGAACTAATGAATTTTGCACTACAACCTCGATTTCATCGCAGCCGTTTCATGCAAGGCGTGACGAAAGTGTCGACCTGTTTAAAAAACCAGACACTTTCGTCACAAAAGGGATTAGCTTTCGTAACCACTCTGTTAGCTACTTGACAGCTAAACTTTCGTCACATGCTGCATGGATTTTTGTCACTGAAGCCAGAACTTTCGTCATGTGACGAAAGTGCTGTGAAACACTATATTCTACTAGGTATAGGGCGAATCGAGCGGGCGCTCGAGCGAGACAGACGAATAGCGCTCGTCACTAGAGCGACTGGCTTATGAATTGTGCTCGATGTCCGATCCCTCGCATGTCATTCCTAATTTAAATAAATTCTCTATAGGTTTGCACAAAATAAACAAAAAATATATTTTCTTCTATTAAAAGAGTAAAATGAATGTCGTACTAGGTTTGGAGCAAAATCTACACAAGAAAGCAAATTTTTTTTCTTTAGATTAACGACAGTAGCACGTAGTTCAAAGTATCAAATGAATTATTAGTCAAATAATATTCTCACTATATTTTAATAATATGCAGTGCACGAGCGCGCTCGTTAAATTGCGCTCGAAGGACAAGCGCTCATGTTTCCCCGCTCTTTTCACCTCATACCTATATTCTACGAATATATTTCTGCAAGCGTAGACAGATATAAATGAATATTGTTCTCTTTTCTGTTTTTCTCGTCTGTTTTTTAGACAGGAGGAAATCTGATATATGTACACAATAGATAAATTCTCATAGAAGGCTTCCACATTATATGGGAAGCCTTCTATGAGAATGAAGCAATTTATTCATTTCTGTCCACGCGTAGATATAGAAACAAAGATATGCATAGATAAATGTAGAACCGAAATATTAGTAGGAAAAGTTTTCTTTTGAATGAAATGTTTTATCCACTACATATTTATCAATCCCTGTATCGTCAGAATTACGTTATTAATATATTCATTTGTACTTATTTGTATCTTTTCAGAGTATAAATTAATTAATTAAAGGTCAAATATCGCATTTATATAAATAAAATATAATTTTACACAACCGAACTCATTTCTCTCATTTTAAAGCCAATTAAACACACCGAACTCAAATATCTCTTTTTTCCGAGCTCATTTAATTTTGCGTCCAAAAATTATAATCATCTTTTCCGTTTTTAAATATTAAATCCAAGGTTTCAACTGTTACGCGCTAGATTTCTATTTGTTTTTTTACTATTTATTATTTTGTTACTATTTTACTCGATTTGGTTTGTGCATGTTATTATATGAAAACTAAATGAAACGTCATGACTCTAGACGAATAGTCGAGGAGAGTAAAAAAGATGAAAAATTAATAAAAGACCATTCGAGAAAACATTCAATTAGTCCTGAATGGAATGAAAAACAGACAACAAAAAACTATACAGATTGGACAAAGGGATCTGTATCGTTATCAGTACCTATTAAAAAACCAACTTCAGGACAAGAAAATGAGAATCTAAAACCAACACGACGGTTCAGTAGATTAGATCAAACATTGTTAACAAAACCAAAAGTTGATAAAAAAAATTTATCAGACGAAATCAAAGGTAAAAAACATTGATCGATGAATATCAATGCTTTATTGACGACACATTGTTAATCATTTATCTCCATTGTGTCAACTTTTTTTGAGATAATTGAGAAGAACTTCTCGATAAAGATGAATGAGGTGTCAGTAGACTTTAGATTTGTCCAAATGGAATACAGAAAGAAAAACTTTTATTAGTACGAGATCTATTACCCATGAAAAGAAGACTAACTCAGGATTAATTTTTGAATAACTTTCAGACGATGATTGATCGAGAACTATGATTCTCGCCATCCGAAAAAGGAAATTTCAGTGCATCTTTACCGAACACGAAAAGAATTATACATCTGTTTCGAGAATAGTTCCTTTTGAAGTATCTCTAGAAAATCTGCTCAGATTGACTGATAGAAAGTCTGCTCATAGGATCGATATTCTATGACTGGTGGTACCATTAAAATAGAATGGATTATAGTTAATAGATCATACTGAGCCTCGTGACAATGCTTTTTTTGGAAGAAATATTTAAAAATTCATAAATAACTTAAAAGCAGCACAAAGAATGAAATACTCAGTTTTACATGCTGAACATGATTTCTGAAAATACATTAAGCGAAGAAATGTATTTCTGTTCATAAAAGTTTTCTGAGAAATCAGGCAGAAAACAAATGAAATTTTCGACGCTGTTAAATCTTGAAATACGCAAAATATCTATAATTTATTCGATTTTGAGATTACCACTTGCTGGACTCTTAAGAAATCTGACGGTATACATGCACTCTGGGAAATGACCGGTTCACTTGATTTCTGTTTTTGAGATCACACTTTGGGCTAATTACTCATATTAAGAAAACAACTATATATTCCTACCTCAATTTGAGCAGGTTTTCCAGCGATACTCTAAAAGAACTATTCTCGAAAAAGATGTATAAATCCTTTTGTGTTTGGAAAAGATGCAGTCAGATTTCCTCTTTCGAATGGTGAGAACTACAATCCTCGATTAATCATCATTTAAAAGTTATTCAAAAATTAGTCCTGAGTTAGTCTTCACTTTAATATGTAACAGATGCTGACTCTTTTAACTTGTCTTCAACGATGAATTAGCAGTATCTTTTATCCGTATTTTCTTCTTATTTAAAAGGTGTGCTAAAATATTGTTTGGCTCAAATGCAAGGTATGCGACGTGAAATGGAAGATGCTCATAGCGTCCTGTTAAAATTCGATAATGCCCATTGGTCAAAATGGTCGTATTTTAGTATATTTGACGGTCACAACGGAAAACAAGCAGCAAAATTCGTGGCAAAAAATTTGCATGTCCATATTATGGAACAGTTAAATTCTATGGTAAAAGTTGATTTGGGATTAGATTCGAGTAGTATCAAACCAGTTAAATCATCCGAATTAGACATTGAAAATTTCTTAACCGTAATTAAACAAGCATACAAAGATACGGATGATGCGTTGAGAAAAGTCATAAAAGATGAAAGCGGATGTGTAGCTGTCTCATGTCTAATTGGAACAGAGAAGATTTATTTTATGAATGTTGGAGATAGCAGGGCGATTCTGGTCTCACCAGATGGTAAAGTGGTAATGGAAACGGATGATCATAAACCGGATGATCCAGGTGAAATAGAACGTCTTCAAAACGTGGCTGAATCCGGCGTTATTACCCAACAAGATGGCGATATTAAACGCGTAAGAGGTCTTGCCATGACTCGAGTATTTGGCGATTTTCAAATAGCCAAAAACATCAAAGAGATTGTACCAGCTGATCCGGAAATTATTGAATTTACGCGTAGCAAAAAATCTCCTGTGGCATTTATTGTTTTGGCTTGTGACGGTATTTGGGATGTGATTACAAACGAAGAATTAGCTCTAATTATCCTTGATCGTATGAATGTTACCGATAATTTGTGTGAGATTACTAATTATATTTTAGATACATGTTTGATTCGAGGTAGTACGGATAATATGAGTTTATTTTTAATTAAATTTCCACAAGGACCATCTGCAACAGACAACTACATTGAATTAGATAAACGAATTCGTGAATATATTCAACATACTTTAGCGGAAAAAAATGAGAACACAAATGTTGAAGACATATGGAGAAAATTAATGAAAAAATTTGAAACAAAGCTATTAACTAGAAAAGAGCTCGAACTACTGGACAATGGTGGAGGAATTCAAGCGAAACGACATTTATTTGTTAAAGCTGTAACAGAAAGTCTGTGATTCTGAGGCATTGCCATACTGTTGATAAATAAGGAGCATGAAATTTTGGATAATGATATTGTTAATTTTTTATGTGGAAACAGACATTTATCTTAAAGCAAAGCTGATTAGCTAAAAAAACAATCATTGTCAACTAAGGTGAGAGAAATAAAGTGAGACGGAAAGAATATTCATGCAATGCAGATCCACAACAGATTACTGTAGAATGTAGATCAAATTTCCAGTAGAAGATTCTGTGCAGATCCTACAAAGAAATTTGTACACACGTTTTATTTTTGTTAGTATGAGATGAGTTATTTTTAGGACGTACTTGTTCACGGAAATGATCGTTTTTGAGAGAGATCAATGACTCCGGTTATTTATTGTGCCTTGAGGCAGCTACTATAAAGAGATGTGTAGATCAGTCTCTTTTCTGAATATTTGGCGTGTTCTTTATTTAATAAACTATAGAAGATCTGAAGATAATTGTTTTCTCTTTTTACTATCTGTCTTTACTCCTTTTACACAAAAATAGTAATTCAAAATTTTTCTTCTCATTCTTTTGTCGTTTGTGACTGAAGTGGCGTAAGCTAATTAAGAACAATAACGTTCAACTCGCATAGAATAGATAGAAGACAACTTCCACGCCGATCTCGAAGACCGCTCTTGATATTACGCCATATGAATTTGAATAACAACAAAAATTGATGATTCAAAACTATTGACCAAGAAAGAGCTCGAACTACTGGACAATGGTGGAGGAATTCAAACGAAACGACATCTTTTTTGTTAAAGCTGTGATAGAAAATCTGTGATTCTGAGGCATTGCTATACTGCTGACAAATAAGGAACATGGAATTTTGAATAAGATGGGTCAAATTTTGGTCCATTGTTAGCTGTTTTTACATGTGTGGCCAAATTTAGGATTCTAAATAACTTTGTCATTGGACAAGGTATCAAAACTGGCTTCTAGAAGACGGTAGAAGTTGATTTCTATTTATTCTGTGCTAGAACTAAGATAACTGAATTCACTCCAGCCATTTTTGCTTGACTGTGCATAGCTATTGTACTCTGTTCACAAATACTATGAATAACTTTATCTTTTTAAAGCTCTTTATTTCCAATAAAAGATCTGACATTTTTTAAGAACATATTATTTCTCTCACGCAGTTAGGTATGGGCTGGTATTATCAGTTCAAAAACACCCCGATGCTAGATATTATTTGTATCATTGTAAGGCCGGTCGATTTGCTTTATTCATCTAGAATGTAAAATTATAGAATTTGAAAAGTTAAGCTGTCGAATAACACAAAACTAATTTTGAACAAATACGGGCTCAAATTAAGTTTAGATTAGCAGTAAATTGCAACCTAGTCTGTATGCTGTACAATGACTAAAGTTGTATAATTTACTCACCATTACCAATATCAACTTAGTTTTTGGTTTGTTTTTTCGTGTTTGTATTATTAAACTTTAAAAGTCTTTTTATTTTAGTCTATTCTGCTTCGACATATTACCCGACCTCATGAGACAACGCAGAGTTTTCTGACCGATATTATCAATATGAAGTGTATGCCCATTCCTAGTGTTAGCTTAATCTCCCATATTACAATTGTTTAATACAATTTAGGGCTCACAATGTTTGTCAAATATTCTTCAAATCCATGAAAAGGCATACTACATCACACAGTTTTGTCATAAAACAAGAAGATTAGAAAATTAATGTCTTCGGAATCGAACCACTGGCAAACTATAGCATTTTCGAGCCCAGGCAAATATCGCCTGTGGGAAAAATCTAGATACATTTCGTCTATGATCGGGCGATACGCAACTAGTTGTCATCTAGATTACTAGTTGGAAAAGGAACTTTTAACTAGATGCGTCTGTATGTGCAACTAGCAATAGTTAAATCGATAGTTGCAACTAGAAAAAATCTAGTAATCGCCCAATTACTAGATTTCCACTGTCCTTACACAGTAGTTGCAATCGAGTAAAAATCTAGATGAATCGGGCGATACTAGATTTTTTTTTTATGCTTGGGAGCCCCGGCGAATTTGAAGTGTGATTTAAAGTCAAAAGCTAAAGCTGAAAAAACAGACAGATTCCTTCATCTGTGAACACTCCGTGGTCGAAGTGTGGAAAGATCTATATCCATCGCTTATTCTCTTCTGACACTTAGTTTTATGAGGACAAGTCGTCCTCATAGAAAGATGTTGAAAGATGAAAGAAAAAAGAAAATATTGAACGTCGATGTTCTATTAGACTCTTCATATCTGAAATCTATCAGATTCTGCTTATACTGCTGATCAATATTTTGTTTTTGAAAGCAGCCTACGAAAGAAAAAGTAAAACAATCAGTTGTTTGACTTCAGAATAACTGTTCCAAGACAGCAATTCATGTCTCTCTGGTCTAAAGTATTTATCGTTGACAGTATAAATGAATGTAAAACAAGACAACAGACCTAATTTTCATAATTTTGAGCTCGCTATAGCATCAAGCAACTTTAACGCAAATACAACGTCAAACTAAAACTATGCAGAGAACAGCAATTCGTGTATAACATTACCTTCCACTACTTTTTCTTGAGTTTAATATCATCTACTCTAGCTGTTATAGCGGTATGATTTCGGATCAATTGTTACATAACATGTTCTCTCTACCCCATTACACACAGTTTGTATCGTCCTATAATGCAGACTTCATCCCTGTAGACTTCTTATCTTTAAAATCAAGTAGACTGTAAACTCGTATTTCTGTAATCAACATAAGTTTAATATCGTCAATATCGCATTCAACAGGGATTTTCCATCGTACATCATTTGAACATCATCAACTTCTATCTCCGTAAATATCTTTTACTTCATATGAATACAGAAAAGTTAAAATCTCTTTTAATTCCTTTTGATAATCTCGACGCAAGACTTGATTTTGTATGAAGTAGCAATTTTACTATTCTGCCCACTGTAATTCATCAAAATGTATCAAGCTTATCTCCTTTGTGTGAATATATTGTGTATTTCTTTGAATATAGTATTACTAGCTGAACTGTAGTTGACAGACCCTTAGTTGTAAAGTGTTGTTTTTTCTTCAACTAACATGTTATGTGTCAGAATAAACAAATACAGGATGTCATTTTAAATATTCAGTGACGTAAAACTAAGGAACCGTCTCTCGCTTTAAGTCTTAATTCAATTCAGTTTCCTTTCTCCTTTCTTTCTTTATTTTTCTATTTAAAAAGTATATATAGAGATATAGATCATATTATTGATACAACCGTCATAGAAACATCAGTAAGAAAATATGTAGATATAAATAAAAAGAAAAAAAAAGAGGAAAATAATTGTCTAAGAGCGCAAAAATCATTTCCATCATCGTTCACATCCGTTTCCGTTATTGGTATGTAAAGATTATATAAACACATATTTTAAAAAATGTATCGTAAGATTTACCTTATTGTCTACTACATCATTCTCAAAAATCATCATTGTATAAGAAATCAAAGAACACAATTGAAAGTTATTTAATTTTTTTTAGCGTAATTTTAAAAGATTTTAATAGATGTCAGGTTCAACTTAACTTAATTTGGAGTGAAAGTCTATATCTTCATCAAAAACGTACTTACAATATTCCGTAAATTAATGTATTGTTTTTGTTTTTTTTCATGATCGTCGATAACTGTAAACCTATTCGACTTGCGCTGATGTTATCGTTATTAGAACAGGTCATTTTTTTTGAAATTACATATCAGCACGAAGAAAAAAAATAAAGTTCATGCAGAATGATGGGAAAATAGTCTTTCGTATTCAACATACTCGATAATCCTGAAGATTTTCTATTTCTGGTGAGTGACATTGTCAAAAATTTAGGTAACTTTTTTTGAACAAAATGGCGAAAAAACAAATTTCCTTAGGATTAGCCATTGTACGATAGTGGCGACCTAGCGTGCTCAATCTTTTTTTTAAAACTTTATTCTGATTTTGCCAGTTTGTAGCCCTACTAAAGTTGAGTATATTCTGAAATTTTGAGCCTATAGGGTGTTTCACTGATCGGGAATAAAGT